TGTCTTGCACGGATTAATTTGATTTCCATTATTTCTTATTTACCTGGAGTTTACCTGGAGAGAGTTCCGGGGGTCAACGCCCCCGCGGCCCGGTCTGTGACCAGGCCTCCTTAGGTCAGTGTCCCAGGATGCGACTCACACCAGTCGACTAACACCCAGGTACCCATTTTACTGATGGGGAACATAGACAACAGGTGGAAAGAAACACGTCCAATGTTTCTACTCTGGCTGGGAATCGAACCCAGGCCCTCGCCGTGTGAAGCGAGAGCGTTAACCACCGATATTTTTGGTTTACGATGAGCTCTCAGGAACGGATTAGTATCGCGAACCGGGGGTCCACTGTATACGTTTGGACCGTTTACGGGTTAAGGGCTAAATGTTTATACAGTAGTGCACTGTATAGTGTAATAAACAGAATAGGGGAAATCATACTCTTCCCTCCTTGCATCACTTCTACTTTGTAAAAACTTCTCATATGCTAACTTTTTCTCCCTTACTACTCTCTTTACTTCATCATTCCACCAATCGCTCCTCTTCCCTCCTGCACCCACTTTCCTGTAACCACAAACTTCTGCTGAACACTCTAACACTATATTTTTAAACCTACCCCATACCTCTTCGACCCCATTGCCTATGCTCTCATTAGCAAATCTATCCTCCAATAGCTGTTTATATCTTACCCTAACTGCCTCCTCTTTTAGTTTATAAACCTTCACCTCTCTCTTCCCTGATGCTTCTATCTCCTTGTTTTCCCATCTACCTTTTTAAATCTCGTGTAGCTACAACTAGAAAGTGATCTGATATATCTGTGGCCCCTCTATAAACATGTACATCCTGAAGTCTACTCAACAGACTTTTATCTACTAATACATAATCCAACAAACTACTGTCATTTCGCCCTGCATTATATCTTGTATACTTATTTATCCTCTTTTTCTTAAAATATGTATTACCTATAACTAAACCCCTTTCTATACAAAGTTCAATCAAAGGGCTCCCATTATCATTCACACCTAGCACCCCAAACTTACCTACCACACACTCTAAAAGTTTCTCCTACTTTAGCATTCAGGTCCCCTACCACAATTACTCTCTCACTTGGTTCAAAGGTTCCTATACATTCACTTAACATCTCCCAAAATCTCTCTCTCTCCTCTACATTCCTCTCTTCTCCAGGTTCCTGACCAGCCGGGCTGTGGCTCGTACGTTGGTTTGCATGCAGCCAGCAGCAACAGCCTGGTTGATCAGGCTCTGATCCACCAGGAGGCCTGGTCACAGACCGGGCCGCGGGGGCGTTGACCCCCGGAACTCTCTCCAGGTAAACTCCAGGTCAGAGAGCCTGTCATAAGCCCGAGTTGTCGGTAAACAAGTATGTTGCTAAGTGAGGAGATGCTGTACTGTGGTTAATAGCATCAAAAGCTTTTTGCAGATCAATAAAACGTCTAATATGATATTCTTTCAAATGTTAAATATTGTTCCAAGAATCTTTAATATTGCATTATTTGTTCCTTTATTTTATGTCTGATTCTAAAATGACAAAGAGTTGTGAATTTGCTTGTGAATTACTTCCTCAAATACTATTTTTATAATAATACTCCTGTAGACATTTACTAAAAAAGAGAAGAAGAAAAACTTTATAAAACTGGGATGCTTGAATGTGCGTGGATGTAGTGCGGATGACAAGAAACAGATGATTGCTGATGTAATGAATGAAAAGAAGTTGGATGTCCTGGCCCTAAGTGAAACAAAGTTGAAGGGGGTAGGGGAGTTTCGGTGGGGGGAAATAAATGGGATTAAATCTGGAGTATCTGAGAGAGTTAGAGCAAAGGAAGGGGTAGCAGTAATGTTGAAGGATCAGTTATGGAAGGAGAAAAGAGAATATGAATGTGTAAATTCAAGAATTATGTGGATTAAAGTAAAGGTTGGATGCAAAAAGTGGGTCATAATAAGCATGTATGCACCTGGAGAAGAGAGGAATGTAGAGGAGAGAAGGAGATTTTGGGAGAAGTTAAAATGAATGGGATAGGGAAACCCTTTTAACCAAGTGAGAGAGTAAATTGTGGTAGGGGACCTGAATGCTAAAGTAGGAGAAACTTTTAGAGAGTGTGTGGTAGGTAAGTTTGGGGTGCCAGGTGTGAATGATTATGGGAAACCCCTTTGATTGAACTTTGTATAGAAAGGAGTTTAGTTATAGGTAATAATATTTTAAGAAAAAGAGGATAAATAAGTATACAAGATATAATGTAGGCGAAATGACAGTAGTTTGTTGGATTATGTATTGGTAGATAAAGACTGTTGAGTAGACTTCAGGATGTACATGTTTATAGAGGGCCACAGATATATCAGATCACTTTCTCTTTGTAGCTACACTGAGAGTAAAAGGTAGATGGGATACAAGGAGAATAGAAGCATCAGGGAAGGAGAGGTGAAGGTTTATAAACTAAAAGAGGAGGCAGTTAGGGTAAGATATAAACAGCTATTGGAAAGGATAGATGGGCTAATGAGAGCATAGGCAATGGGGTCAAAGAGGTATGGGGTAGGTTTAAAAATATAGTGTTAGAGAGTTCAGCAGAAGTTTGTGGTTACAGGAAGTGGGTGCAGGAGGGAAGAGGAGCGATTGTGGAATGATGAAGTAAAGAGAGTAGTAAGGGAGAAAAAGTTAGCCCTATGAGAAGTTTTTTATAAATAGAAGTGATGCAAGGAGGGAAGAGTATATGGAGGAAAAGAGGGGAGGCTAAGAGAGACAGTAAAGCAATGCAAAAAGAGAGCAAATGAGAGAGAGGGTGAGATGTTATCAACAAATTTTGTTGAAATAAGAAAAAGTTTTGGAGTGAGATTAACAAAATTTAAAGGGAAGCTTCGAGAACAAAATGGGGTTTGTCAGTTAAAAATAGGAGAGGAGGTTATTAAATGGAGGGGTTAGAGGTATTTGGGGAAAATGGAGGGAATATTTTGGGGAATTGTTAAATGTTGATGAAAGATAGGGAAGCTGTGATTTCGTGTATAGGGCAAGGAGGAATAACATCTTGTAGGAGTGAGGAAGAGTCAGTTGTGAGTGTGGGGGAAGTTCGTGAGGCAGTAGGTAAAATGAAAGGGGTAAGGCAGCCGGGATTGATGGGTAAAGAAAAGAAATGTAAAAGCAGATGGGGATATAGTTTTGAGTGGTTGGTGCAATTATTTAATAATGTATGGAAAAAGGGTAAAGTACCTAGGGATTGGCAGAGAGCATGCATTCCTTTGTATAAAGGCAAAGGGGACAAAAGAGAGTGCAAAAATTATAGGGGGATAAGTCTGTTGAGTATACCTGGTAAAGTGTATGGTAGAGTTACTGTTGAAAGAATTAAGAGCAAGACGGAGAATAGGATAGCAGATGAACAAGGAGGCTTTAGGAAAGGTAGGGGGTGTGTGGACCAGGTGTTTACAGTGAAACATGTAAGTGAACAGCATTTAGATAAGGCTAAAGAGGTCTTTGTGGCATTTATGGATTTGGAAAAGGCGTATGACATGGTAGATAGGGAGACAATGTGGCAGATGTTGCAGGTGTATGGTGTAGGAGGTAGGTTACTGAAAGCAGTGAAGAGTTTTTACAAGGATAGTGAGGCTCAAGTTAGGGTATGTAGGAAAGAGGGAAATTATTTCCCAGTAAAAGTAAGCCTTAGACAAGGATGTGTGATGTCACCGTGGCTGTTTAATACATTTATAGATGGGGTTGAAAGAGAAGTAAATGCGAGGGTCTTGGCAAGAGGCATGGAGTTAAAAGATAAAGAATCACACACAAAGTGGGAGTTGTCACAGTTGCTCTTTGCTGATGACACTGTGCTCTTGGGAGATTCTGAAGAGAAGTTGCAGAGATTGGTGGATGAATTTGGTAGGGTATGCAAAAGAAGAAAGTTATAAGTGAATACAGGAAAGAGTAAGGTTATGAGGATAACAAAAATATTAGGTGATGAAAGATTGGATATCAGATTGGAGGGAGAGAGTATGGAGGAGGTGAATGTATTCAGATATTTTGGGAGTGGACATTGTCAGCGGATGGGTCTATGAAAGATGGGTGAATCATAGAATTGATGAGGGGAAAAGGGTGAGTGGTGCACTTAGGAGTCTGTGGAGACAAAGAAGTTTGTCCTTGGAGGCAAAGAGGGGAATGTATGAGATATAGGTTTTACCAACGCTTTTAATATGGGTGTGAAGCATGGGTGATGAATTTTGCAGCAAGGAGAAGGCTGGAGGCAGTGGAGATGTCATGTCTGAGGGCAATGTGTGGTGCGAATATAATGCAGAGAATTCGTAGTTTGGAAGTTAGGAGGAGGTGCGGGATTACCAAAACTGTTGTACAGAGGGCTGAGGAAGGGTTGTTGAGGTGGTTCGGACATGTAGAGAGAATGGAGCGAAACAGAATGGCTTCAAGAGTGTATCAGTCTGTAGTGGAAGGAAGGCGGGGTAGGGGTCGGCCTAGGAAAGGTTGTGTGCGAGGAGCATGGACTTCCAGCAGGCATGCGTGAGCGTGTTTGATAGGAGTGAATGGAGACAAATGGTTTTTAACACTTGACGTGCTGTTGGAGTGTGAGCAAAGTAACATTTATGAAGGGATTCAGGGAAACCGGCAGGCCGGACTTGAGTCCTGGAGATGGGAAGTACAGTGCCTGCACTCTGAAGGAGGGGTGTTAATGTTGTAGTTTAAAAACTGTAGTGTAAAGCACCCCTCTGGCAAGACAGTGATGGAGTGAATGATGGTGAAAGTTTTTTCTTTTTCGGGCCACCCTGCCTTGGTGGGAATCGGCCAGTGTGATAATAAAAAAAAAAAAATACTGTTAGGGTATAGATTAGTTTGTAGTCATTAACATCAGACGAATCACCATCTTTGTGAATGGGTGTTATCCTGGCTCTTATGAGAACATCTAGAATGGTTAACTCTTCTACAGGAGAATATAACAATAACTTTTCTACTGTACAGTATAAACAATACAACAAAGCTACAGAAAAATAAATTAATCTCTGACCTGATACAGAGGTACCATGTATTATATTTTTCTTGGAACTAGGATCCATACCAGGAGAGTCAGAGGCAAGAAGACAACAGCTTTTAAAACAATCACTTCATAAACACTGAAAAACAAATAATAAAATTATTTACAAAATATATTATCATTAAACTTCTCTCTTGCTAATGCGCTGAGATGTTAAATGTTAGTTTACTCAAAAGTTTACTAAATAAACTTGAAATTCACACATTTTTAGTTTATGACATGTTTTGTCAATCAGGTGGTCCTGCCAAGTGAGTGTGAGAATAATATAAAATGGGTGAATCTGTACACAATGTATCAGAGATTGCAAGGGAGATGTATTTTGGGTACATGAAGCACAGAGTCAAACAGTGTGGCAATCCATATACTGACAATATTTGCAGTCCAACACTGAATGAGGCAACTGTTGCCCCAATAATGGCTAGTGTATGGCCAAATTACACTAAACCATTACCCAGTAAACAGTCACTGAATGGGCAAAAGTTGGAAGTAATTTACCAAAACACACTTGAAACTGCCCTAGTTACCATTACTTTACCCAGTGTAAAACACACTTGACACTGCACTAGTTACCATTACTTTACCCAGTGTAAAACACACTTGACACTGCACTAGTTGCCATTACTTTACCCAGTGTAAAACACACTTGACACTGCACTAGTTACCATTACTTTACCCAGTGTAAAACACACTTGACACTGCACTAGTTGCCATTACTTTACCCAGTGTAAAACACACTTGACACTGCACTAGTTGTCATTACTTTACCCAGTGTAAAACACACTTGACACTGCACTAGTTGCCATTACTTTACCCAGTGTAAAACACACTTGACACTGCATTAACATTTACTTTACCCACTAATTACTTCATTACAGCAATGAGTGACAATGACTGGCACAAAAAGTTTACTGACAACGGAAACATTAACAAATAGGCCAGTATTTATCTACAAAAAATACAAAGCCCCTACACTATGTATTGTTCTATAACTAAGAAGATAACAGTAAAAAGACTAAGTAGCCCATGGCTAACAAATAGCATCCTCATGTTCATTGATCATGCTTACAAGTGTGAGGTCACTGTCAGAGGCAGGAAGCCTAACTAATTTACAGCCACTACTGTACAAGAACGCAGCTCAATATTTATCACCCACTATTCCAACTTTCCCAACAATGCTTAACCCCTTAACTATCCAAACGTAGATCTACGTTCTCTCGTCCAGTGCTCCGAATATTTTGAAAACAAATTTTTTTTTTTAACCCTTTGACTGTTTCCGACGTATAAATACGTCTTACGAGCCAATGTTTCTGACGTATTTATACGCACAAATTCTAGCGGCTTCAAATCGAGCGCCAAAGGCCTGATAGGCCTACACGGGAGAGAATGGGTCTCAGTGGTCGGTGTGCACCCTGTGAAAAAAATCTGGGACCTAGCGGTGCATTGTGGGAACGCCATGTTGTCAGTCCATTTTCACCATGCCTCTCGGTAAGAAGTTCCTCACTCCTCGGCGGATTGGAGGTCTTTTGTTCCCAAGTGATAGCTCTAACAGCGATGAAAGTGTCAGCGACAGTGAATTCAAGGGTTTTCAAGTGAGTGTTACCGAAAAAAGTGCCAGGATAACGTAAATAGTGACGAAAACCCAGATGACCCACAACCTTCGACCTCTGGTGCTGTGCCGGCTTGTTCACGTTCACGTTCGCCTGAAACCAGGACGAAAGAGGAAACTATTTGGTCGTGTACAACACCCTGATGATAGCAGTGATAGTGATAGTGATAGTGATAGTGATTTCAAGGTCATTGAAAGCAGTTCTAGTGACAGTGAGAGTGAATATTCCCCAGTGAAGCGCCAGTATGTACGACGTAGCATGCGGTCTGGTAGTGTTTCATATGTTGTTCCAAGGGGAAGGAGAAACTCTGGGAGCACATCCCGTGGCCCAACACCACGACCTGATAGTGAAGATGACGATATTGTAACGATGGGTATGAATGGTGACAGTGAGGGAGGAGGCAGTGGGGGTGATAGTGAGGGTGGCACGGCCCATGTGGCACCATCACCGGGCCACGCTACTAGCCACGCGGCTGACTCAGCAGAACAACCAGCCTCACCCTACCCCACACTGCCACAACCTGCACCACCACAACCTGCACAGCCACAACCACAGCCACAACCACGGTACAATATCCAGACCCCACCAGCAGACCGCATCTGGGATTGGCAGGACGGTGACGAGTTTGTTCCCAGTCCCCATGACTTTGATGAAACACAAAGTGGAATAAAGCCATCTTGTCCACTTGGGAACAATGCCAGTGAACTGGACTGCTTTGAGTTATTCTTCGATGAACCCCTGATGGACATCATTGTCAGGAAACCAACACATACTGTGAATACACCATGGCAAATACAATTCTCTCACCAAAATCACGGCTACACAAGTGGAAGGAGACAACTGTGGCAGAGATGTACCTGTTTTTTGCCACAATAATGCTTATGCCACATGTGTATAAGCACACTGTCACCACATACTGGACAACAGATCGCCTGATTTCAACTCCAGGTTTTAGTGACATTATAGGTGTCAATCGTGATAGGTGATACTGTTGCGTATGTTACACTTTTCAGACAAAACCAGGCCTGACAGAAGCGACAGGTTATATAAGATAAGAAATGTGTTTATGTACTGAAACAAAGTGCATTGCATGTATTTTTATCCTTCAGGAAGTTTGTTATGATGAGTCCTTGATTTTATTCAAAGGAAGACTCTCATTACAAGCAATATATACCAAGCAGAGGAAAGCCTTTGTATAAAGCTAATTTTGTACTGTGTGATTGCAGAAGTGGTCTTCGTTTTAGATATTATTGTGTACACTGCCCAGTACCATATTGAGAGATACCATGAAGTTATTGGGTATCTCTGGTGATGTGGTTCTCGAACAATGATGGAACCATATGTCTGTAAGAGGGCATATGTTATTTACTGATAACTTGGTAACACAAGCCCCCTTACTCAGTGATTTCTTGCGATGGTGAACTTGACAGAACGTGTGTGGCACAGTGCTGTGGTAATCGCAAACATATGCCAAGGTTCGACGCTGGCACTCGCAGAGGTGGGTGCAAGCCTTTGCTGCCAATGACCTCATGGCATTTTCGTGGCATGACAAACGTGATGTCACATTGTTGGACATCAGTTCCACTACAAGCGATAATCGGTACCCAGTGGCGGACAACAGAGAGGGACAATGAACCATTCTAAAGCCTGCAGCTGTCATGGACTACAATCAATATGCGCTCTTAGTGACAAAATGTGACATGCAGATTGGTTTGGCAGACTGTGTACGCAAGAGTATAAGTGGTATATCAAACTTTTTTTCCATCTTGTTGGTATCTTATGTAAATTTGCTTATAACATATACAAGTGAGGACCACAAACACCAAAATATGGTGAATTTTGCTGTTCGTAATCAGACAAATAATTGCAAAGTACAAAGAGCAACTCCTGCAATAGACCAGCGGCACACGCGGTTCATCTCGTATGAGCCTGGTGATCACTACCCCATACAAATGCCTCCTACTACTGCCAAGAAAAATGCACAGAATGAGGTGTTATGTATGTATGATACCCAAAACGCCCACAAACACGAGAGACATCGTTTTATGTGTGAGGAGTGGGAAGTTGCCCCTCTGCATATACCATGTTTCAAAGAGTTCCACCAAGCTGCAGCAGTTCTAGGAACGTGTTTAGTGACTGTACATATGTTACTATAGTATGGGAACAATAGTAATAAACATTGTTTTGTTTTGTTTGTTTGTGTAAACAATGTGTATACACAAACTAATAGTGTGATAAAGTTTGTTTGTTATTGTGTTGTAAATAATGAGTGTATATTTGAACAATGCACCTTACATTGCGTCTCACAGGCCACATAAGTTACCTGGAAAAGAAAATATTGAAAAATGCAAGAAACCTTTGAATTAGAGTAAATAAAAGAATACCGGCCCTACGGTGGCGGGCAGTCGCCGCTGTTGCCGTATGCACGTACAAAGAAGAAACAAACACCGTAATAAAGATAACAGCAAGGGGACCCTAGAACTCAACTTGTCTACCCAGCAGGGACGCCAGTGTATCATCAACCCCCCTCACCGCCGCCCACCCAGGGAACAACAACAACACAAACAAACTTGGCTGACTCCCCCTCCAAACTCACTCCTTCAAAAGGATTCATCCATGATAACTCAGCGTATGATTATTCTGACAATATCAAGGACTACATCGTTGCTCTAGGAAATGAAATCAAAGATATCAAAGCAGCACCTCGTGCGACGAGATTCCAAGATAACCAAACCTCAAGAATAAGATCCATACTTTGAAGAGAGATTACATCGGGGAAGTTGTTGACACAAAAAATACTCTAAAAGGCAGCTATAGCCAGTCACCTGAGCAACTAACAACAATAAATATGAAAGGTTGAAAGAAGCAATCAAGGACTGGAATCAGACATGCCACCTCGACTAATGTATACCTTGATTTCCAAGACGGACAACACTGAACAGATAAGTTGTCTGATCAGTTATAATAAACAGTCCACACATTCCTAGTGACTAACACAAGCACAGTGACAAAGAAAACTGCTGTCAGATAATTCAGAACCACGTAAAAGTCATCGTGCAAAACAATGAAATCAAAGAAACCCGTTTGCTAGGAAATACCAGGAAGTAAACACAGTGTAATGTCAGACTTCATACTACGATAAAAAAGACCTAATTAAATCAGCATTACAATGAAAAAATGGAGTGTACATAAATGAGTGTATAACAAAAAACGTCAAAACCTTTGTCAGGCTGAGAAAACTTCAAAGTGAAAAACAAAAGACATCAGTGGTTCACGCGTGATGGGAAAATACTAGTAAGGAAAACATCACCAGGAACAACAATTATACCATCTCATACGAACTTGATTTCTTCTCCTTAGAATAGCTGACATTTCTGTAACAGATTAGATAAGTGCCCATTAATACATTTATTTGTGTGGTGCATATAGTGTACGTTACTATTATAGTGTACATTAGTATTTTTATTATTTT